GTAACAATGTTTCATCAGGTAAAACACTAGCTCAATACTTGCAATCTCATCAGTACTAACAACGTGTATCAATATGCTCAACGAATTGAAAGTAGTACTTACATCGCCTGAGGTAAAAGGGACATCAGTAAGGGGGATGAGAACGAGAGTGACGAACATAAACCTACAAAGGAAGAGAAACTGGTGACTTTGTACTGACAGGGATGAGTGGCTCTGGAGGAGGAGAGATTGATGACTCTGTAGTGATAGTGACAAATGGCTCTGGCTCTGGTGGTAATGAACAATCAAAGGGAGTATCATCAACTATAGGGGGCAGACATAGGACTGAAAGAAAAAATAAGGAGTATGCTCAAGAAGGAAACATCTAGACTGTGATACATACAATGCCAAATAGGATCATAACACTGATACCCCTTAGACAGATGACAATAGTCCACAAAAACACAACGAATCACTTCATTATCAAGCATATGACGAGTAGGAGACCGATCCTGAACAAAATATGTGCATCCAAAAATATGAGGGGGGACAAAAAAAAGTGTCCGTTCAGGAAATAAGACCTATAAGGGAGCCCTATGCTGAAGAACATGATTCGACGTACGATTGCACAAAAAGGTAGAAGTCAAAACAGCAAAAATGTCAATAAGATTTTGGTACCCTCATGCCTCTAAGCATACAACGTATCATCCTATTAGACTCCTATTTTTTCTTTCAGCAACGCCATTTTGCTCATGAGTATATGGACAAGTGAGTTGCTGAAGAATACCCTGAGAAGAAAGATGAGACACTAAAGCATCAGATACATATTCTTTGGCATTATCCGAACAAAGAGTACGAACAATGACATCAAATTGTGTCTTAATCATTTGTAGAAACAAAGTAATTATAAGGAGTACATCGGACTTCCTATGCAAAAGGTAGACCTAAGTACAATAGGTATGATCATCTATAAATGTCATATAGTATCAAGCACCTGACAGAGCAATAAGAGGAGAGGGTCTCCAAAAATTAGAGTGTATTAGGTCAAATGGCTTGGGTGACTGGTGCATATGAGGAATATAATTGGTCCTATCATGTTTCGATAGGGAACATATAACACAGTCAAGTTTACTACCAACACACACATTGCTCAAAGTAGAAAACAACATATATAAATATTTAAAATTTGTATGTCCAAACAGTCATGCCGCAACTGAACAATTTGTGATGAAAAATCATAACGACAACTATTAGGTAAAATACTAGCATGCAAGCTAGGAACAGATAAAGACAAAGTAGGTGCAGGTGATGTAGGTAGAGGAACTGGTGAAATTGGAGGTGAATTGCCTAGATAATACAGTCCATCTCTCTCATGTCCCCTAATAATAATTTTTCTGGTACTCAGGTCCTGTAGATAAGAACACAAGCGCACAGTAAAAATCTCAGGCTAACTGATGTATAGATAATAGATTCATAGCCAACTTTGGCGCATGAAAAACTAAACGTAATGTAAAGTCATCTGGGAGGCAGACTGTACCCCTACTAACAATAAGAGCATGTGTCTCATCTGCTAACTGAACTTGTACATGTAACTGATCGTCAAAACTGGTAAAGTGATGAGCCTCACCTGTCATGTGACCATTCGTACCCGAGTCCAACATCCAAAGGGGAGACGGATTGACACAAGCATGAAAGACACGAGGTATACTTGTAGTGGTGACAGCATCAGTAGTCAGACTCTGAGAAGTCAAAGTGGACATAAGTATATCCAATCGAGAAGTGATAGCATCTATATTACTCTGCCAAGGAGTAGTAGTAGCGGTAGCAAGTGGTGGTACCTCAGCAATAGCAGTAGTACGGTCGCGAGGAGGTGGCTCAAGCACTGGTTGGAGCTTCCAGCAAGCAGCCTTGAGATGTCTTGGTCGACCACAATAATTACACTGATGAGAATCGCCCTGTTTGCACTAATCTGGGGTACCCTGATGGCGTTGGTCTGAGCGCTGCCCACCCCTAACTGAGGATCCTGAACGAGACCCTATGATAGCCACAAGGGTCATATGATCAGCCGGAGGAGTCAAGGTCGCAACTGAAAATGATGCAATACGAACACGACGCTTATGCTGCTCAATCATCGCATACACCTCATAAAGAGAAGGAAGCGTCAACATTGACAAGATTTGGGAACAAGGTCCCTCAAACTCATCACGAAGCCTTATAAAGGAACTTGTGAATCTTATCCTCCTATTGTCAAGTATGCAAGAATACTGCTCCCTCGGGCTCTATCCTCGAAATAGCAGCAAGAGGATGTAGAGTCTCATACTCAAGCCAGCGCTGGGTCAAATAGCCATAATAATCCTGAACGGTTATATCTTTCTGCCGAGCATATGAGAGCTCCTAAGAAAGCTCATAAACACATACTCCCCGTCATGACTGGGAATACATCTTTGATAATACACTCCATAGCTTTGGAACAAAGCTATGAAACTGGTGAATCTTGCAAACAGATAGTTCCATCGAGGCAAATAACCATCCAAGAATGACACAGTTCTCAGAAAATCACGCAGAATATCCAGGATCAGTATCAACTGGCTTTGGATGAGATTTTGTCAGCCAACCAAGCTTCCCTACACGGCCTAAGAAAAGCTGGAATGAGCGAGACCACTTAGCAAAGTTACTGTCATTCAACAACTGTGTCGTAACTTTCTAAAAGATCATGCCCGACAATGCTGGTAATGCAACTGTGCTAGTAGGTACTGTATATTGGTCAAACATAAAAGTGGAAGTATCAATAAATGTCTCAACGATAAAGGTGTCAACAGTAGGGGTCTCAAGTCCCTCAGTAGTAGTCATATCAACAATAATACTAGAGCATCCATAACAGAAAAATAACTCTAAGATAAATAGAGGGATAAAATAAGAGAGAACAATATACCTCTAGTCGAACAGTAGTGCCAAATAAAGAAGGTCCAGAAAGCTCTCAAATAATCAAGTCACGGTACCCAGAAATCTAATAAATATAAATAATGATCTTCTGCATCAAGAGCATATCAACGGAGAAGAGGATTCAACCCCTCTTAAAAAGGTCCTACAGTCCCAAATAATTAAACGCACGAAGGCAAAACACGATACCGTGACGAAGAGTGCGACCTAGCAGTGGGCTTGTTCGCTGGAGTGGGTACTGGCTAGCCTGGGACAGTGTGTTTGCGTACTGCTTTGGGTTTGGGTTATTGATTTAACATGACTGTTTCGGTTTATGGGTTTGGTATGGGCTGTAAAAGTGGGTTTGGTATTGTATTGGACTGTAAAAGTGGGTTGGACCGTAAAAGTGGTCTGGACAGTGGTTTCGACTGTGAGGTATTTGGTGTTGTGGGGCTGTGGGTTTGTCCGTTATATGGCGAAAGGCAGTATGTCAATTGCGTAAAGGTAGTTGCAGGTTGGTTTGGTATGGAGTGGAGGATGGGCAGTCGGTGGAGTGATCCTATCGGCTGGTGTTTGGGTTTATGCTTGGATTGATCGGTGCTTGGGCAGTGGGCTGGCTTTGGTTTGTCTGGCTTTGTCGGTTTCGATTTCGTTTTATGTTTGCTGAAGGTGCTTGGGTTAGGTTGTAAAAGATGGACTGATACGGCTGTTGGGCAGTCGGAGATGGTGGCTGCAATCGTAGTGAAGGGTGTAGGATTAGGTTTAGAAGTTTTTGCTCTGATACTAATTTGATGTATTAGTGAGTCTAAAAGGGATATAAACTAAACGTAAATCGTATATATAGTTAATAAAAATTACAATAAAGATAAAAAAGTAAAAAAAAAAAAATTAATAAATCCTAATAAATTAGGATGCTATATCTCCGACATATATTGTGGTTGAGGAGTTGTTCTCTTGCTTTTATTTATGATAAATGTTTGTAACTTTCATCGTTTTGAATGAGCTTGCCATTGTGCTTTACTTGTGCACGTTGATCTTAGAGCTGAACTATGTAACCTATTGTGTGATTTGTTCACTTATAACACCATGCGAAGTAATTATATTTGCGATTCTCATTCCATCTGTAACAAATCTCAAGGCACAAGAAGCAAACTGGAGCTCTATAAGAAAAAAAAAGGCTGCGGAAGCGGTTCTATACCAGAGGGAGAAAGAAGCTGAGGCTCAAAAAGCCATTGCCGAGGCTGCATTTTATGCTCGTCAACAGGTTGCCGAAGGAGAATTATATGCCATGAAAAAAGAGGCTGAAGGAATTATGGTTCTTGCACAAGCCCAAGGCATTTACATACGCACCCTAATGGACACATTGGGAGGAAATCATGTGGCTCTGAGGGATTACTTGATGATTAATGGGGAACGTTTCAGGAAATCGCAAAGATCAACGCCAATGCTGTGCATGGATTGCAGCCAAAAATTAGCATTTGGACGACGGGAGGTGAGGCAGCCGGTGGTGGTGGGAGTGCTGCCATGAGGGAGGTTGCTTGTGTTTATAGGATTTTGCCACCCTTGTTTAAAACTGTCCAGGAGCAAACTGGAATGCTACCCTAGGGGCGGAGCCAGGAATTTTGTGTAGGATAAACACTTTAATTATGTATTCTAATTTTTTTTTCTTCTAACCAATCACACTATATAACATATTTATATTTATTATATTATTTTTGATATATGAAGTCCATTTAACATATAAAATTTCAAAAAAAAAATGTATATTGTCAGGGGCAGAGTCATGAATATCTATGAAAGAAGTAAAATATAACTGGTATAAAAAAATATTAAACCGAAATTAATACAAAAAAATTCAGTTCAAGAATAAAAAAAATGTAAGAATCAACACTAAATTATTGTGAAATAGTAAATTCAATTTTTATTTAGCCGAAACAAAATCTTAACAAAAAGACACAAAATAATTTTTTTAGTATATTTTAACTTAATTATATATTTCAATAAAATATAAAATTTTTTGTATATGAATTAAATGTAAATTAATTTTCGTATTTTATTAGATTATAAACTACTATTACTAAAAAAAATGGTAAATGAAAACTAAATGTTATTCTTAAAAAGTAACGAACATTGTGTTAGATAAAAAAAAATATTGTATTTTCGTCAATATACAAATAAAACATTGACTCAATCCAAAACTAACATATTTATTTTAGAGGGTTAGTGATCCACTAATTTATTAAAAAAAAAAAGACTAAAACTATTATTAAAATTTTCAAAAATTTAAGGGATAAATATAATGTATAAAATAATTTTATAGGGTTGGTACAAGAAAGAACAAAAAATCTCAAGGAACTGAGCTTCTCGTGTGTTGAGTTTTTCTCTGTTTCTTTTTTTTTTTTTTTTGGTTGGGCAGTGGGCAGCTGAAAGTGAGTGATACAAAGAGAAAAAAAAAAAAGGAAAGATAAGATAGATTTTTAGTCAAGTGGGCAAAAATTTTGTTTTTTTAATGATGGTGGGTCAAAAGTTTTGTTTTTTAATGTTGGGTCAAAAATTTTGTTTTTAATATTGGGCTAAAAATTTTATTTTTTTAATAGGTTTGAGTGGATTGTGATAGGACAAATATTTGATTTTTTAATAAGTTTAGATAGATAATAGTGAGTTCAATTTTTTTTATTTTAAATGAACTTAATTGTTTAATTATTTTGAATAAATAATGTGAACCTAATATAAATTAAGGGCACACATAATATATATGTATAAATATATAATACATATATCTAACTAATAGAAAAAAAAAATATTGAGGGGGCGCGCCCCGGGTTCTACCTCCCTCCTCCCATGGCTATCCCCTGCGTGGATAGGTGCCTTGACTGATTCTAGTCATCCTACATGAAATAAGAGCTTTGTGATTTGGACTTATTTCTTTGCCAGTTCGTCTATGCTCAATATGTGTTTTATGTTTTAGGTAATTAGCTTTTTGATTCAAATGTTAATTTTCATAATTAAAGATTTTGAAATTATGCAAATAATTAGATCAGTAATGCTAAGTTGAGCAAATTTTAGGACCAAATTAAAAGCTCAAATGATATGACAGTATATTATTTGAAGTCTTTATTGAGACCCAAATGACGTAGCACCAAATAAAAAAGTTCAAGTCAACTGTCATGTCATTTGAACTCTTAATTTGGTCACAAAATTTAGTCAGCATTCCTCTAATTAGATTAGATAGTTACTTTATCGCATTAGATTTTATTTTTTTTGGTAGAGTATTCTTCTTTTTTTCTATAACTTAGTTGGTGGTTTTTTCTATATGTATTATTATTTTGCTTTTATCCGTCTTCTAAGATATTGAGTGATAACATTTCTAATTATTTTTTTTATTCAAGTAGCATTTGTCTTGCATTTCTATTTTTTTTTTCTTCCCAAGGTACATTTACTTCCTTCAAGCTTGATCGCAAACTTAATAGTATATATTTTTTGATCCAAAAAAAAAAATAGTATATATTCACATATATCTATATATATATACTTCTAATAAATGTATCGTAATATGAAAAAAAATTTATTTTTCTATTTTATCCTTATAAAAAATTATAAAGATCACTCTATCATTTCATAATTAAGTATATATATATATATATATATATAACACACACACACACATATATACTATTAATAAAAGTACTTTAACATGAAAAACGTTTGATTCTGTATTTTACCTTTATGAAAAATTTCAAAGACCAATCATTTTATAATTAAATATCTAAATTATCTATTATCTTCTTATATATTTAAATCTCTAAATTACCTCTAACATCTTTTTTAATTATCTATTCTTTATATATAAATATCAATTTCTATTAAACTGTTTTATTGACTATATTATCTTTAAAAAATATGCATTATTATAATTTCAATAAAGGGTTAAAAAAAACTTTCAAAAACTCCATCAATTTAATATTATTCATCTCATATGCAAAGATAATATCATGCACACATATATTTATTTTCTTTTTCATTAAAAAGTTTAACCCTTTTATTTCTAAAATAAAAAATATTTGTATATATAGTTTTTTTAAATCAATTTATGCTACCTCAATATAATTTTTCAATCACAATAAACTTTCTAAGTTGTTTTAAAATTTTATATGAAAATAGTTTATAATGTATCCTTAAGTAAAACTTAATTTTTTCAAAATTTTGATATGTTTTAAAATATAAATTATAGAGTAGTATATTAAATCTTATCCTAATTGACCTAACTAATTGTTAATTAGAGTAAAGTTCCAATATGAGGAGTATATTGATAGTTACTTTTATTTTAATAAACGAATTGTAAGTAGAATCCTAATTGAATGAATTTTAAAAAATTTAAGTCCTCAAATATCACTAAAAATTACTCTCAATCACAAAATTCTAAAAAATTAAAACTTTAACTATTTTTTTCTATCTTTTTTCTTATAATTAGAACAACGAATTTTGAAAATATTTAAAGTTTTCATAATCCTATAATAGAATATGAGTAATGAAAAATTAAGTCTAGTAAATTTGAAATGATATTTAATTCAAATACATATTTACTAATATTTTATATTAATTTTTATATACAAAACCTATTCACGTGCAGCGCACGTGATGCATTATTACTATACTAAGATATATGTAGATGATCACTTTTGCAAATTATTACTCAAACATGCTTTTATTATTTTGACCAAAATGAATTTTTTGGCTGAAGCAAAAATAGTTTAAGGAAACACTAACAAATGATACATAAGCTTTTCTTTAAGAGATGGAAGGATTAATTCTTTGTAGTTAGTTAAGTTGATTTTCGCTTTCTAATAATTTTTTTTTCTTTTCCTCTATTTTCCTTTGATAAGTTCCTTTCTCTTAATTAGAAAACGAGGATGCACCATGGACTAAGGCTATCGTTTGGGTGCAAATAATTTAGTCAAACATGAGGATACAATTGAAAGTGAGTAGTTTGTACAAATAATGTTATACTTAGTAATGGATGCATTTCAAGGAAATTGGATAGACCCTTAGTTAATGAAGATGGAATACTTCTATCCAGCAAGCTGAAGCTGAGCTTATTTGTCCAATTTCATCACTGATTGTCCAATTTATGACACTTTCAGTAGTTGTTACTGTGACGAACAATTATTCATCACTAAAAATTAATTTTTTTGTAACAAATAGTGTTGTCGTCACTCATCTTAGACGATTAGTGATAAATTCATGTGTCATCGCTAAACGGGTATCATTAATAACAAAAATAACTTAGTCACTAAAAAATTTGTCACTAAAGTCCATAATTGTTGTAGTGGTAGGCTTAAGGTTGTGGCTATCAAATCATTAGAGAATTCAAGCAATATCCCTCAAACGTAAGTAATGAAATGCTTAGAATGAGATTTGTATCACATATGTGTATATATAATTCTCTAACTATGTCCTTATTCACTGCCTCTAGGGCCACGAAGAGATTACCCCTTCCTCTTGACTCAAAATTCAAAGGAATGGAAGAATTCCTTACCCAAGTGAAGTTTACGCATCGCTCGACCGTCTCAGACAATTTAACATACTTGGTCCTATATCGATCACAATATTGTGGCTCTTGGAAGCGACTTCTCTCATAAAAAACATGGACCCTAGCTTTCTTCTCAACTCATGATGTCATTCCCAAAACTAATCGGTGAAAGGGTGTCAACATATGTGAATATATATCACAAATCTAAAGTTGAATCACACCTAAAATCACTCTATGCGTAGTTTGGTGATATGGATAGACAATAGGTAGGTGTTTGGAGGGTTTTTGCTCGAGTTTACAGTGAAGTGGAATGAAAATAAACGGCCAAAATCTCAGTTTGAAACCATCGAGCCCGACTTTTAACAGAGGCTGCTTAAGCGCTCCCTAAAGCTCAGTAGTCCATCTGACTGTTTTAGCTTCCAATCCTTCTCCGGACCACTACACCTCTTCCTCTTCTTTCCAGTAGACTCAATAAGCACTCAAATGCATGTGTGATGTAGGTATATGAATAAAAGCAATCAAAAGTACATGCATGGATGAAATTTGGATCTAAATATAATGCAATTTTCAAATTTCAAGTTAAATGCAAAAAGTCATTAATTATGAAAATCACATTAATTCATCAATCAACACATCCATCCTCATTTCATCATCTCACACATCATTGTAAGGCATATTAATGAATATATAACTTCGTTCTATATGCATAATTAGAGCAATTTCCAAAAAAATTGGTCCGGTTCCTACGATCACTCATGCATGTTCAAATTTTGTCTTTCTGTAATCAACTCATGTGTTAAGTGTGAGAAACCAAACTCTGGCACAAATGAAAATCCATCTAGATTAAGACATTAATGTAGTTCTACATGAATTTGTAATGCATTGTCCAAGTAAAAACATAACCGGTTAGTGACTGTCCCAATTTGACTTTCTACTTATATGGCCTCATTAAATAAGATTTTGAATTGTGTACTTTACGTATTAACTCTTTTGACATT